CTAGCTGCATCTGTATACTTTCTCTTTTATATTTGTTTTCTTCCACTTTAGCAATTCCCCCGTAATAATCTAAATAGAAATTCTTTGTTCTAAAAATCAAAAACAAAACCAAAAAAACCCCAGCTTTTTCTTTGACATGCATTAGCCGATAAAACTGTAGTCAAATATTAAAACTGTAGTGAAATATTGATAGCAATTTTATTGCATCCTATATTCTTTATTGGAAAAGTCTGGTGATTTTCTCTTGATTGTGGATTTTTCAAGAAGTAAGCCTATGAGCAAACCTCCCAGATGCTTTCCTCTGTTTGTGTTATGTATCTAGTGAGTCGTTACTATAGACTGAATGCTTGTGTCCACCCCTGCGCCCTTTCCCCACCCAAATTCACGGGGTTGAAAGCTAATTCCCACTGTGATAGTAGGTGATGGGGCATTTGGGGGGTGATTAGATCCTCAGGGTGGAGCCCTCGTGAATAGGATTTAGTGTCCTCAGAAAAGAGACTCCAGAGAGCTCCCTTGTCCCCTTCTGCCACATAGGGCACTGAGATTTGAACCAGGACACCTCAATCCTGGACTTCCCAGTCTACAACTGTGAGACAGAAATGTTTATTGGTTAAGCCACCCAGTCTGTGTCATCTTGTTATAGCAGCCCAGCAGGCCAAGACATCACTACAGAACTATTTTTATTTTTTTGCATTTGGAGTTTGGCCACCTGCAGTTACCCTATAGTCATGGTGCAGTGTTCAAAACCTCCACCTCGTCCTGAATGGCTGGGGACCTCGTCCTGAATGGCTGGGGACCTTTGTTGTGGTGTCACTGTGCAGGAGTAGTGGTTCTGCTGCCCTCCTGCCTAATCTGTCCGCTGCTGTACTTGATTCTGTAACGTGGGAATGTACCTATCCGAAAGGGCAGTTCTGATAACTAAAAGACGACATAAAAGACCCTTACACACCAAAGAGACTTACATAATAATACCTTCTCTTCTTTCACCTGCTCTGGGCACAGCCCCCAAAGTGGGTTTCTTTTTGGATCCTTTCTCCTTTCATTGTAGGTACATTTTTGGGAGGAGGGGATTCATTTACCCTAATCTTTGTGTATTTGCATGTATTTTCTCCTTTTTTTCATTTTCATATTTGTGAAAGCTCCTAAAAATGTTCTTCCTCTGTTTTCACCTTGTTTTATGATCTTCCATGTCTATTTACTTCTTTATCTTTGTTTTATTTCCCATCATAAGACTAAACATTAAGGGGAAAATAGCAGCCTTGGCTGACTGTGGAAGAGGTTTATTGTGCAGTGGATGTTGTAGTTTGGTTTTACAAGTACGAGAGGACACTCCAAATCAACCCTGCATCCTTGGAGCTTGGTCAGCTTCCCCGTCTCTGGTCAGTAAATCTCACCAATTCGAAATGAAAGTTGAGTCACACATCTGTTTTTCATGTTGCCTTAGGATAATGAAAGCTATTGTGTTGTGACTTTTATGTTATTGAAATAAAACCCCCTCAAACTCAAAACTCTTGGGTTGCAAGATGATCGTGTCTTTATCATCATCCACCTGTACTGATGCTTGTGGGACCAGACCACGGGGTGATAAAGGGGGCACTGTGCTTTTCTTTTACGTGAGCTGTTGTCCTTGCTTGTTGTAAAGTGAGCCTAACATCTGCTTTTGCACAACCTTTTGAATTTTTTATTTTCATGGAAGAAATCTCCAACTCACATGGACTATCTTTTAACCAAATAAACCCGATTTTCAAAACCATTGCTTCCAATTTCCATTGCTTTATTTTATCCGTTTTAGAAAAAAAAAAACATTTGTGTAACAAAACAATACAAAAGCAATGTCTGTGACTCTTATTTTTTAATATTTGCATTTATTGGGGTGACAGTGGTTAGTAAAGTTATATAGGTTTCAAGTGTGCAGTTCCATAACACATCATCGGTATATTGTACTGTGCATTCTCCACCCCAAGTCAGATTTCTTTCTGTGACCATTCATCCCCCTCTACTGTGTGCCTCTTGTTAAATTGGCATTTGCTTTTAGGGAGTTGATTTCCCTGGGCTCTCAATTATGTTTTTCATACCCTAATAGGAGCTTCCTAAAAACTCTCGCACTGTGCCAGTAGAAGGTAGATGACAAGGTTTGGCAACTCCAGAGGAACTTGCACTAAATAATGCAGCCAGAGAGGGAACTGGAAATAATCACGAAAACATAAAGAGAAACCATAAGGACTAGATAGATTATATTTACTCCAAGATTTCTCATTCTACACTTTCTCTCCTGCTCTCTCAAACCCACTCATATTTAGGATAAATACATTAGTTACCCTCATTTCCTGCTGTATTGCACAATAACTACAGGTTCCCTTTGAAGGTCAAACTTGAGCAATGGAATAGGCCCAAAGATACTTGATTTTTTAAAGACAAAATTGGAGAACAGTATTAAACAACATTGTTGAATTGTTAGTACTGATGGGCACTAAACTGGGATTAGGTACAAACTGTGAGCATAAACATATCACAGCATCTGAGATACAGTAGTATGTTTAATGAGTTTTTTTTTTTTAAATTATTTTCCTTTCCTGTTAGTTTTTTACCCCCCAAAGTATTTTAAGATGGTTGTGCTTAACTCTGTACATCAGAATTTAAAGGTCATAGTTAAATAGTGTTAACAAAAGATTAAAAGTTTAATTTTTATTTTAAGTATGTTTATAGGGTTATTTATTTAAACTTAGTATTTATAAATATATTAAAATAATAATGAATGAAATGACTTGGATAATAGGTAAAAATTCTTTAGGAGTGTCAATCCAGAATATACAGTTGTACCAGGTTTCAGGTTATACTACAAAGCCACTGTAATCAAAACAGCCTGGTACTGGCACAAGAACAGGCATATAGACCAGTGGAACAGAACCCAGAACCCGGAAATGGACCCAAGGCAATATGCTCAATAAATATTTGACAAAGGTGGCAAGAGCATACAGTGGAGTAAGGACAGCCTCTTTAATGAATGGTGCTGGGAAAATTGGACAGCTACTTGCAGAAAAATGAAACTAGACCATCAACTTACACCCTACACGAGAATAAACTCAAAATGGATAAAAGACTTAAATGTGACTCATGAATCCATAAAAATCCTAGAAGAGACTGTAGGCAACAAAATTTCAGACATCAGAATATACAGTTGAAATTGCTGAGTAATATATTTGAATGCCCTAAGTATCCAGAGTCATTTCTTTAACTGGGCAAAGGGCAGACGTCCAGGGCCATCGCTGCTCTAGGAGGGCAATTGTGTCTGCCGGCCATGCCTTGAGCAGAGTGCACAGCGATAATTGTTAACATTTATGGAGGTTTACTATGTAACAGGCAATGTAGTGAGCCCTGCGCACACATGAACTTAATAAATGTTTGCTGAGAGTCTGAATAAATGGTCAATGCTTCCAGTTCCCAGCACATAGAAGAGGCTCTGTTACTCAGCTAATCAAGTGGGCCCACCTATCTATGAAGATTTCATTATTTCTCTTCGTGAGTGTATTTGATACTTTGACATCTCTTGATCTTAAATATTTAAATTGAGTTGATATTATTAAAAAGTGCTATTTTCTGAAGTGTTTGATGTTTAATATTTCAAGAACGTTATAATATACTACAAATCCAAGTAAAGATCTTGGCAAGTTCTCTTTGATGCCTCATCTAGGCACTAAATCACGACGATTTGTAACAACACCGTAATATGAATTAATTCAAGAACTATTTTTAAAAATCCTCATTCAACCTAATGTCATTATCATCAGAACACATTAATGTTTTGTTATTTTTTTATGATTAAGCTTCTGTTAAGTTTGATATTCTCATATATCATTAGAATGAACATGCCACTTATAAAACATTAATTATTCCTAACATCCAAGGATTGCATCTGCTTTATTCTTTTATTATAAAAACTGTCCTGAATAAATCAACCTATAATAATTACTTTATATACTCAGTCTGATTGAACAAAAATGGCAACCTGTTAGGATTTTTCCAGCACCTGTATTCTACAAATTTTACTAATGTACCATTTAATTAATTCAAAATGTAAAGAAGGACATGCTACTAAAAGTCCCTCATTTCAAGCCCATATTTCTGCTTATCAGTACTGATACCTCCTTACAGAGAAACACACAAGCATTTGTCTACTGGTTTTGTGGGGTTTTCTCTAGCTTCAGTATGGATTTCTCTAGAATTCAGGGTTCTTTAAAGCTGGAACTATAGCTTTTGAATGTCATAATTAGTGGTGAAAACAGCACAAACTAAGTGAATACTCTTTTGAGAGTATTCTTTTTAATATAGAGGGACAATGTTTATGTTATTCTTTAAGTGGTTTGGTTTCTCCGGCTCTTGTAATATATTTAGCTGACTGATTTAGTCTTGGACTTACAGCCAAATAAAATAGAAAATTCATATATTCTAAGAAAAGGTTTATTTCAATGATGTAGACTTATTAACTGCTTAACAAACATGTGGCTACACGTGTGCTCTACTTACCATCTTTGTAAAGCTGTACATCTTGAAACATGCAGAGCATATGTGAAGTATCTGGTGAAAACATTGATACTCTGTCATTGGTTTGACAATTCAATTACATTTCTTTAAGTATCTTTTTATTTTTTTGGAAACGCCTAAGAGGATCACATGGCCAAGTGAACGCATGATATTGTTCAGGGGTTATGGAAAACTTACCTTCTGTGTTTGCGTTATATGAATATAGCCGCTGCACTAGAGAAACACAGGTATTTCTAATGTATTTTAACTGCATGTTAAACTGATTCCCTATTTATGTCCTTATTACTGGTATTTATACTAATCTAGAGATTGTTTGTAACATCATTACCCGAATTTCACGACACTTGAGAAATGGCATTTTGTTTCAGAAGATTCTAGCTGAGCGTGGAGTCACTTGAGGGGCTGGGAGGGGGATTTTAAGACTTGCTCTAAGGGGTCTATGTGTGTTTCGTGCGCAGCACCTGTTCTTCCTGGAGCCTACCAGCAAAGCCATTCCCAAGGCTATGGGTACATGCACCAGACGAGCCTGTCATCCATGAGGTCGATGCAGCACTCACCAAATCTAGTAAGTGTGGGTGTGGAGTGCGCCTCTTTCCCTGGTTTTACCATTTCATCTCCCAAATATAAATACGTATGGACTAGAGTTGAATATCGTACATGTTTAAATGCCCAAATTATTTTATTTTAAAATTCATTATTTATTAGCATCTAGTTGATATACACTATTATATCAGTTTCAGGTGTACAACATAGTGATTTGACATTTACTTACCTTACATTGTGATCACCACAGTAAGCCTAGTAACCATCTGTCACCATACAAAGTTACTGTGGTGGTACTGACTGTGTTCCCTGTGCTGTACCTTACATCCCCCTTATTTATTTTATAACTGGAATCTTGTGCCTCTTTCCCCTATTCACCCCCCAACCCTTCTTTTCCTCTGGCACATATAAGCAAAATTATATAGTATTTGCCTTTGTCTCTGACTGATTCTACTTACCATAATACCCGCTAAGTCCATCTGTTGCAAATGGCAAGATCTCATTCTTTTTTATGGCTGAGTCATATTTCACTGTGTATATGCACCACTTCTTTATCCGTTCATCTGTCGATGGGCATGTCCATTTTCTCATGGAAGAGAAATGATGTGCTGTCATTTGTACAATCCTTTTGAAGGAAGCAAAAGACTTACAGAGAAAAACCATCGGGAAGGGGAGGTGTGATATGAAAACATGTAAACAATGAAACACAAAGAATCTACTAGTATGATATCCTAATTGTTACTTTGTGATTGGTGTTAGCCACTTGTGATCTTCATTCAGGTCTGTAAAGCACGTCTATTTGGTCATATTAATAATCTGGATGTTGATCAGAATGGACACTAAAACCTAAATGACAGAGCCAACGTGTCTTTGAATCCTCCCATTAGAAATCTTGAAGCATTAATTCATTCATTCACTAATTGTGAAGTTTGGAAGAGGCGTTCAAGGTCATTTAGTCAAATGTGACATCTCATACTGGAATTGCTTCTCCAAGCTCCTGACCTTTTGCTTGAGAACTTAGAAAAAGGTGCCCCCCTCCCAGCCCAGCAGTTCGAATGTCATCTTTAGTTGCTCTAAAATTCTTTGTGTCTCAGACAGTTTCCTCAGTTTATGAATTCATTTGATTTTGAGATTGTCTGATGTTAATATTAGCTAAACTCTTGTCTTTAAATGAACACAAGTATAATAAAACTCAATTTATATTTTGAATGTTAACCTCTTACCAGATATACGGTTTGTAAATATTTTCTCCCATTCAGTAGGTTGTCTTTTCATTTTGTTGGTGGTTTCCTTTGCTGTCTAGAAGCTTTTTAGTTTGATATAGTCCCACTTGTTTATTTTTGCTTCTGTTGCCTTAGCTTTTGGTGTCAAATAAAAAAAAAATCATTGCCAAGGCCAATGTTTTTTTCTAGGAATTTTATGGTTTCAGTTCTTACATTCAAATCTCTTCCATTGTGAGTTAATTTTTGTGTGTATTGTATACAATGGTGGTCCAGTTTTATTGTTTTACATGTGGCTGTCCAAGGTTCCCAATTCCTTTTATTGAAGATATTGTCCTTTCCCCATTGTATATTTGTGGGTCCTTTGTCATAAATTTATTGACTGTATATGCATAAGTTTATTTCTGGGCTTTCTCTTCTGCCCCATTGATTTATGCCAATACTGTACTGTTTTAATGACATAGTTTTGTAACAGTTTGAAGTGAGGAAGCAAATATTTTCCTCATTATAACAAAGATTTAGTTATATGTACCTTAATATTTAGAATGTGTATATGCTAAATTTCTATCACTATGATGCAAAAGCAGCCCAAGATGAATATATTATTGTTTTTTTTTTCTTTGTTTTACATATTTTCAAGAGGAAACAAAAATTTTTGGTGACTGCTTAAGAAAAGTTTATTGCCTGGCCAGTGTGGCTCAGTGGTTGAGCATCGACCCAGGCACCAAGAGGTCGCCGGTTCGATTCCTGGGCAGGGCACATGCCCAGGTTGTGGAACCAATCCCCAGTGCGGGGCATGCAGGAGGTGGCCAGTCGATGTTCTTTCTCATCCATGTTTCTGTCTCTCTCTCCTTCTCCCTTCCTTGCTCTCTAAAATAAATAAAGAAAAAAAATTTTAAAAAAAAGGAAAGAAAGTGTTTTGCCTCTGCCAGGGCCAGTTGCAATGACTTGGGTCTGTCTGGCAGGTTTTGTTCTCCGAAGACTGTGGACTCGGGGAAGATCTGTGTAACCTACTGTCTCTGAGGATAGCCGCAGCTGGGGGGAGTTGGCTTTCCTGCTTCCAATCTGTCTTTTTGATGGGCTAGCAATTGTATTTAGTGGCTTGCTCTACCCCCATTCTGGCCCCCAAATGTTATCTTTTTGCTAGCCTATTGAACTGACAGATGAGCGTGGTTAGGACACTAAGCTCTGGAGTGTACATCTCCAGAAATAAATGTACTTGGAAACATTCCTAATAGTTACTTTATGAGTGGGTTGGTTTGTTATGATTGGCATTTTTGGCCATGACTATTTTGGTATTCATTGTGCAACCCTGTCTTTCCTTTGTCAGAGGACCTACCGAGCCATGTACGATTACAGCGCCCAGGATGAAGATGAAGTCTCCTTCAGGGACGGTGACTACATTGTCAACGTGCAGCCCATCGATGACGGCTGGATGTACGGCACGGTGCAGAGAACTGGGAAGACCGGGATGCTCCCCGCAAATTACATCGAGTTTGTTAATTAATTATTTCTCCTTGCCCTGTGAGCTTTATTCTAATGTATACTAAATCTAATCTTTTTAAAAGATAGAGGATACTTTTAAGACAACTTGGCAGTTCTTTTACAATAATAATCTATCCTTCCTTTGACAATTAGACACACAGGTACCAGAAAGGAGGAATGATTTCTGGGCTGAAAACAGCAGCATTTTCAGTAATTCCTATAAGTGGAATAATGTCTGGAGACCTGGTCTGCTAATTGTGCTCTTGGTTTCTTTTGATTGGCTACTGAACCCTTCTGGGAAATGTATTTTTGTAGACTTTGATAGAGATGTTGATTGTCCCGTAAATGTAACAAGTATATGAAACTTCTTAGCTGTCACTTGGGAATCACCAGAAGCCAATTCTCTTAATTCAGTAACACAGCCAATAATTTAAAAACTGTGCAGCTTTGGAGTCATTAGGCAATTTCCAATGAAAATTTCCTGTGAAAATTGCCTAATGTAAGCAATGGCCGAATGACAGTTTGGTTACAATTATTTTGACTGATGGCCTTAGGGACCTAGAAACGTCTACTGAACAAAGAAATGTTTCCGTTTCCTTGGCCAGCTTAGGTCTGCTTCTTTCTTATTTGTACCAAGGCATATCCTACTCTGCACTTACATTCTATGGACCCCCAGATATGCTTGGCTCCACAGAATGTCAGGACCAAATACCTTCACAGCTACTCTGCAAAGGGCAAATTTAAGATCATCTATATTATTTCCCTAATAGGCTCTCCCCTGTTGCATGCCATGTAGGTCCAAGCTTCTGTAACATAGGCGGCTGCACTGGCCATCACTCTCCTAGCGCAAGAGTGTGGCTGACGGGAAAAGTCTCTTTCTAGCCACCACTCGTCAGAAAAACATAGTTCGAAAAGTTGCTTGAGATTCTCCTGCTGCATTGCGCTCTAGTTTCGAAGGATGTATGCTTTAGGAAATAGATGTATACTCTAGTAAATAAGTGATTTAGGTGTTTATTGAACAGCTTTCAGTAACTTAATGCCGCTGTTTATTTCAAAGTTAAGAAAACTGAACAGGAGCCAGTGACAAAGTGGGATATGAAATGTGCTGGAGAAAACCAGCCAAGGAAAGTTACCGACGGACTCCACAGAGAGAGAGAATCTGGTTTCTTGTTTTGGAAATGGTATTCAGATCCTGGAATGGAAATCTAGCCATTGAAACAGGTAGATGAAAAAACTTCCTTTTCACTCTCTGCTTTTTATTTTTTAAAGCACATTCAGGGGGTGAGATAGGAAGGTCATCAGAAATTTTAGGCACAGGCCCCACAGGTTGTTCACCAAAAATGAAATTGGTATTAGATTTTGATTTCCAAATGAGTGACCTTGCAGTTTGTCGCTGAATTCATGGCCGTGGCTGCAGCCCTTGCTGGCGGGTCATGACTTTCGCCTGAGTCCCCCGTCAAGCTTACCTGAGAGTAACATCCATCAGCAACTGTGTTTTTCTGATTGTGCCATTTATTGGGACCTGCAACAGGGTAGCATTCATGTAGGATCTGACTCTATAGTTGAGATGAAACTGAAAAAACAAAGTTGTAACAATGTAATAAAATGTATGGGTCTTGGGGCTATCTCTTTATATGATATAATCAAAGAAATTAACAAAATATCTTTTGTTGAAATGTTTATCATCCAAAGGCAAATGTCAATTAATTAATGCCTTTGAAAGGTTAGTAAATACTTTTGAAAATATGTAGTTTCATTTTGTCTAGCTAAAAGAGTAAATGAAATAAAATGTATTACATACAAACTTTATCTACATGACACCGACATAAAATTGAAGAGAGAAAATTTCAAGCAAAAAACTGGAGATTTCTTTGAGTGAGCTTTATGCAATACCCAGCTTGACTGATATTCTGTCATTGAAATAACTAGTCATGATTAAATGAATTAAATCCCATACCAGTTTTGATGCCCTGTACACAAACCTACAAACACAAACAAACTTGCAATATTCTTGCAAAAATTCCTGTGCATTAAAAGTGAGGAAAATAAGCTTGTTCAATTTTATTATATCGTGAAGTAAATATTTATATTCCACCCAGACTTCTTTCCATGATTATAAAAAAGGAGTAGTTGTTGATTAAATTTGCAGACTAAATGTAGGACAGGTACAATTTTTGATAGATAGCACATTTATAGGAAACTCAAAGGAAAGTGACTTAAAATGATGATTATAATGGGGGAAGTTACCATAAAGTAGCAGCTTGATGTTTCATTGTGTTTCTCATCCACTGATTTCAAAATCAGGTTCATTGAATGTAAAAGTCAATACTTACTTGGGGAATAATTCTCCTAAAATTGTAAGCTTTACGTAATGTTTGCATAGCAAGATGTTTCTATTTCCAGCCTGTAGGAATTAAGATCTGATCAGAAGTGAACATGAGAGTGGTGGTTTGACAATAAAGACTGAGAGAGAACAAGATGTCACATGCTCCTAACACTAACTTGATAGTGTTGTCATTGTTACTAAAGCTTATCCGGATACCAGGCATCTCAGCAGAAATATAGGAAATATGTGTAGAATACCAAAGTGCTATTTCACAGCATCAGTTTCAAAACGACATTCTTGAACAGCTTTTGCCCTTACGACACGCCCCCTGCCCCTTCCGATTGGCAAGAGGTGCCTCCTACATGACGCTGACAGCCAGGCAAGGGTCTAAGAAACAAGTCTTTAAAAATCAGGTTTCAGAGGCTTTAAGGGCCCAAGCACAGACAGCATGCCCTGCTTTTCTACACCTGATGTTCTCCAGCATGATAAAAGCACAAGGAGCCGTTGGATATGCTTTTCCAGGTTTCGAAAACAAAACTGAATGTGGATCATATCTCTCTGGAGAAAAGCAGTACGTTTTTGTAGTTAAGGTTTTTACAAAGTCTTGGTCTCTAGGGAAGCTTTCTAACTCTCTCACCTGTGGCAAAATGACTTATTTGTGTCTTCTTGTGATCATTTGCACATTAGCAGTGTAGCCCGATTTGAACTATTTACCTGGTTGTCAGATGTCCCTGCATCTTCTCAGGCCTCCCCCACCTCCAGACAGCACACAAGGGTTTGCAAGCACAGTTTCCAAGGGCACCCTGTGTGAAACGGACCAGGCCAGACCAGCCCCTCTCGCCACTCGGTCCATTGCTTGAAGGTGAAGACACAGTTCTGCCAGTTTGGCCACAGTCTGTCTTTCCTCGTGCTCTCTCTGTTGAGCTCAGCAGCACCGTGGGCGTTGGGGAGCCGACTTCTAGAACAGCGGAAGTTGAAGAGGTTTATGTCTTTTTTAGGTCTGTCCATCTCCAGTGGAATGTTTTTAATGAAAAGATAAAGAAAACGTGTGTGTGATCCTTTAATGACACATCTCTATTTAGAGTAGATATAGTTTATACCAAAATGATGATATAGATGTATACAAAAATAGGTGCCTTTTTCATTGCCCTTGTTTATCCACTATGGTCCGGGAGAGAAAACCAGGCAGGCAAGCTTCTGCCTGTTCTATAGTAATATTTTATTACACATGATTGGTATTTTTTGTGGTGGCAAAGTGAGATGCTCCTGGCAGATGCGAAGAGTGATAGCTGATTATATTTTACTTCTAAAGGTTTAGAACGTTAGGAAATACTGACACCTTCCATCAGTTTTTGAAAGGTTCTTTGTAGATTTATATGTAGTCGAGATGTATAAACATTAATTTTAGGTGTGAGATTTAAAATACCTATTGTAAGATAGAAGACTTATTTTATGAGGCTGAATTCATTACACGAGATGGAATTCACTTCACCAATTCATTATACCTTAGCTATTTGCTTCGGATAATCCGAAAGTGGCTAGAGTGGGCTTGCTTTGGGTAACGTGATGTGGTGATGAGAAAGCTTTAGTTAAGTAAGAAGCTATGTAAACAAATGCTGAAATGAAAGTCTCCTTCTTAAGTTTTCCATGCCCATCAGAGTCCTTTCCAGGCAGCTGTCAACTATTGATGATCCAAAAAATCACAACATTGTATGATACTTCTTCTGTGGTCATCATCCCATGATGCGTAGACTCCTGGAATCCACAAGCCTGGAAGGACCCCCAGGGCAAATTTCCTCCCCAACTGTCTATGTTACTTTAGTGTATTCCTGGGAATTTCATATGCTTTATGTGTTTGATATATGGTATTCAGTTTGCATAGTATATACTTCTTGGCAATCCATTTGCTATTAAGAGTGATTTACTTAAAGGAAAAGAGAAATCTGCTCCATCCTTCAGTGTCCACGCAATGAATGGCTGAGCATTTAGAAGCAGCAACCAGTGTGCTACAGGCATGGTGTGGAACTGTTTGGTCGTTGACCTGCGAAAAAAGGGCAAAATGGAATCATTGTGCAGTTTGGCTTCTATTTGCTTCAAAAATATGTAGAATTGTGATTGAAGATTAATTGGCAAGATTTTACTACCTTTGAGAACTTACAGTTTTGAAGGAAACAATGTTTTTACAACGAAGGAGCAACACAATGTTATTAATATAATTTGGCTTTTGTTATGCAAATTGTCAACACCAGCTATTAAAATCTATTTTAGTAGAAATGCTTTAATTCATGTTTTCTTCCTCTACACTGTGAATCTTGAAGCCTTGGTGGACTAGAGCAACATCATGCTGCCCAAAGGACTAACCTATGCAAACTAGTTCACATTTCAGTGGAAGTCACAGTAACTGTGTGATGAGGCATTACTCCCCCTGCGTAATGTACAGCGGCCCTGAAATAACACATTGAGCCATCACATATGTATAGTGCAGTCACTCACAAACACTTCCAGGCTACCATAATCATTAGTATTATTCGTTTGAAAGCAAATCGCTGATTTATCTATGAAAACTACTTGAACGATGTAACAACAAGAATGACAGACAGATAGATGTGTCAGCCATGGCTTCTGTGTGGTCACTGCAGGTGTTCTCCTGAGACAGAACTGCGTTCTCAGATGCACTCTCTTCAGGGTATTATTATTCTGTGTCTTCTTTCTGTATTTGTAAAACATTATAACGCTTTAATTTCCTATCTCTACAATTCGTTTGCTTAAATAAATGCAGGATATAAAAAAAATGGTTCCACTTCTTGGTTCTCACCTTGGTCTCTGAAAGCATGGGTCATTGATAATAGCCCAGGTCTTAGGTTTATCATGACGACTCCCATCACATTGCGTCAAAGGTCTGTGTTGGCTTTAGTGCACTTACATTGGTGAGACATTCAGTGTCTTCTTCCCCAAATAGACTGAGTTTTAAATGATAACAATATCATGCATTTTATGACTCACTATCTTTTCTGATTTTATATCAAAGTACAATAATAATATATCACTGTAGTTTGCTTCTTTCAAGATTAAATTCCTCGTATGTCCTCAATAATACAATTTTAATTTCCTTGAATCTATAAGATGACAGAAACAGTTTGGAGCAAAGAATAGAAAATGCACAAATTAAGCACATGAAACAGGAAGGTGCTATGATTTCTCAGCTAAGAATGGCTCATTTTCAAAGGACATAATTGCTTTTGTCCCCATAGTTGAATAAAATGAGTTAGTCCCTATTTTTATCCTCATATAAATTTGTTGAGACTAGAATCTTAGCCTTTTGTATTATTTTGTTAAAGTTCCTTTTTGATGGCGCCTAAACTTTTCTAATTACAAACTGATAAACTTTGCGGATGACACACTTGCTCATGGAATAAACACTTCTTTCTCATCTTGAACTTTGTGGGTTTTTTAGATTCCAAAAGTATGAAACGAACATTTGTATGAGAGTAATCATCAAACATCAAACATACTGATATTACAAATTACAGAATAGCTTATTTATTTATTTGAAGAATTTACCATCCTTTTCTATCTCCAAGATTTTTTTTCCCTCCATGATAATAAATTCTCTCTTTGGAACCCAAGCAACAGATAAATAAATAACCTAGCAAGATTTTTTTTTTCCTAAACTAAAATAATTTAGATTTAAAATATACCATGTTTATAATTTTGCTAACTTAAACATGTGTGAAGATAATTTTATAATTGAAACATACATGACCAGCCGAAGTCTAGCAAAATAACTTTTTACCAAATTACTCAGACTTAATAAATTAAAAAGTAGATAAAAGGGAAGTCTTGTTCCTTTCTTCATGGAATCTGCTTCTCCTACACAGGATTGAATAAGAGATTTGTGATGGCAGAAAACTGGATATGGTCCAAGTGGGAACTTCAACGACTTTCTACAGTTTTGAGCAGAATTCTCAGGCTCTTGTTTATTATATTTGTATTTGGAAGCAGCAGAGTTCTGATGAAAAATAGAATGAGAAAACAGAGTTAAAGGGTAAAGAGTCAATGTTAGAACAGAGGACCCAGTTACTGATTTTGCGTTTATAGCATGGAATTTTGATCTTTGCCACTTTTCACTTTTAAAAAAATTTTTTTAAGTAGCAAACATGAAAGAGAATAGTTTATTTATAGAATAGAATAGAATATTTTAGCAAACAAAATAGAGAAAGCCGAATCTGAACTGTGGTTATTCCACTTGAAAAAAGAAGGCACTTTACTACCTCCCAAACTTAGTTATCAGCTTGCTGCGTGAGTGAACTAGTTTCTGGTTCTTGACCCAGGGTAGCCACACTGATTGCCTTGCCCACACATTGCCATCCAAGGCCATGAGGCCCAAATTAACTTTAATTCTGATGTCACCACTTTGGTCACTGCTGGCTGGACCCAGGTGACTGATCTGTAGGCTTCCCAGGTGCCCTTGACCAGAGCTGCACAGGAACTTTGACTGATGGGATGATGGTGACCGGACCTGTCCGAATCTCCCTGAGGAGCCTGCGTTCACGGAGAGAGCAAGGCAGCCAACTGTATTGTTAAAAGCGAAAAGCCATAGAAAAAGAAGAAGGAAGTCAGGAGTAAGTAGGGTGGGAGGAAGCAGAAGGCGTGAGTAAGTAGAAGTCATGAGATGGGGAAAGATGTTTAGAACAGACTGAGGAAAGAGGAAAGTGGATGGTTGACAGTGGCAGGAGGCTGCTAAACACAGGAAGAAACAGATCTTTGTTGTGTGGCTCCTGTGATTAGGCAGCCCGACCCCTGCGGCCGGGGCGTGCCCACGCTCCACGTCAGCCGCGCAAAGCCATCCCGCTGACACTGAGGCCACGGCCTCTTGACAAGAAACAAATTTCATGACTGATGGAAAGATCTGCACCCAAATAGAACACTAAGTAGCAAAGGTGATTGACATGTCAATTACATTATTACAGTTCAAATATTCCAAGGATGTCTTACATTTCCTTTTATGATATATGTTTTTGAAAAATCATGACCTGGCCAATTTGGCTCAGCAGTTAGAGTATCAGCCTGCAGACCGGAGAGTCCCGGGTTCGGTTCCTGCTAAGGGCACGTACCTTGATTGCATTTTGTCCCCGGCCCTGGTTGGGGTCGTGTGGGTGGCAACCAGTCGATGTGTCTCTCTCACATCGATGTTTCTCTCTCTCTCATCCTCCCTCTCTCCCTCCCACTGTATGCAAAAATGTCCTCAGGTGAGGATTAAAAAAAGAAAACAAAAAAGAAAATCACCTTAGTTAGAAATTGTTTCCCTGGGCCCTGTGAAGAGGATACATAATATCAAATGAATTTTACATCAACTACTAGGGATGTAGAAAGAAAGGATTGGGGATTTAGAGAATCTCACAATTTCTAAATGGCTGGCAAAGAACACAGGAGTGGCTGGGGCCTCCTTAGACAGGAATATGCTTAATTGCAGATTAGGAGATGTTACCAGATGTTACGAAAGGGAAGCCTGTGTGTCTGAGTTCTTGTAGCTGAAAAGGCGGTAAACCGTGGACTTGGAGGGAGAGCGTGAAGACTTCTTTGAGGAGCTGCTGTTTGAACTGAGCTCCGACACCAGCACGAGGAGCAGTTTCCATCCGTTCGTCTAAACGTTAGACACGTGGGAAAACTGAGTCACTGGCAGCTAGTACCAGAAATATTCCAGTCCACTCCTGAGTTGTAGTGTACGTAGTGATGGCAGGTTTTCACAAGTAATAAATCCTTTATGGACAAACATCAGGATATGCACATGCAAGATGTTATGTGCATGTACTACCCTTCTATTATTCTAAGGATGATTCACTCCCCTTTAAGATAAATTCGGCAGGTTGCAAAGAGTTAAGTATCTAAACAAAGTTCTACAGATGTGGACACTTCACTTCCTTGTTTGGATAATTGGTTATGACGTAGATTTTCCTGTGTCCTTACTTCCTCCCTGAATATGTTTGGAAAGTGTGTGCTCAGTGGAGATGACGTCATCCAGCCTGCAGCAGAACCACTCATTAAAATGCTGCTCTCGCCCGTTTTAGATTTAACAGATTTGGGTGTTGTCACCCCCATCTACCAGGCATTTGAGTTAGATTTGTTCCATTAACTGGATGACACAG